GGGGTCGGTGGCGTCTAGTGCGACTTTTGTGGCTTCTGGTGGTGCTGGTGGTGGTGGGCTGGGGAGGGGCCGAAGGAGGTGGCCGGGTCGGAGCCTAGGGACAGATTACCTAGAGGTGGGGATTGGGCGGAGTTGAAGGGGAGTGAGCGGTGATGCTTGGGGCCAAAATCCTGGGTTCGATGATTCATGTATATAGTCTATTGGGAGATGGGGTGGTTGTTCTTGGATGTATTCTTCGGTTTTAGGGGTGGGTAGACGGTGGCCTTTAGTTTGGTTGTGTTGTTTCTTGAAGGGAGTTCTGAGTCGAATGTAGGAGTCTACGTCGGGGTATGGTAACGTGGGGTATTGTACTGATATTGCTCGAATTCATGCAATGCCATAATCATGGCAGTCTGGCCCCCTCCATTGGCCTCCGAACCCTTGAGCTCGGTGTGACTATATATCAAATCCGGAAACAAATGTTGTATTTCCTTGTCCGAGCTCAGCACTCCGTCTCACTCCGTGATGTAAGTCTTGAAGAGGCTCGCCAGCTCGAAGAAGCTGGCCTTGTAGAACCGCTCCTGGGTGGTGAGGTTGACGTACTATCCATCCCAGTTAGCATACTCTTGGTCTCCCCCACCACCCCCGGAAACTGAAGACAGGAACTTTACGCAGATACTCACCTGCAAGCCGAACTTGACCGTAAACCCCGCCGTCCACTCGAGGTTGTCAGCAATGGACCAGGCCAGGCACCCCACCAGATTGACCCCCTCCGCGACGGCGATCAACATGGCCTCGACGTAGTCGCGGTAGTACGCGGACCGGACCGGGTCAGTCAGGATATCCTCGCGCTTGGACTTGTAGGCCTCGAAGGGCTCGGTCCAGCCGAACTCGGTGATGACGATGCCGTTGGCCGGCTGCCACGTGCGCTGGATGTAATGTAAAAACGCGGGGAGCCACTCGGTGGCCTTGTGCAGCCACCGGGTGTTGGGGTCGGAGGCCGGTCCGATCAGCCACCCGCCCTCGCTTGCGGGCAAGGTGTACGTTGAATTGTAGCACTGCGGGTAGAGGCTGTTACTCGGGTCGGCGAGGCAGCCCTCAATCCCGGCGTCGGGCGCCATGTAGTACGCCGCGGTGTAGGCGTCGTGCGCGAAGTAGTCGCTCGCGCCCTGGATGAGGCGCTTCTCGGCTGCGGTGAACTCGGGCAGGAAGCTGGATGTGAAATTCTTGAGGCGGGCTGGATAGTCGCCTAGGAATAGGGGGTCGGCGAACCACCCCTCGTTGAAGGCCCAGGCTCGTTCGACGGCTTCGGCGTCCGCGCTGGAGTTCGTTCGGGGTAGCTTGTACCCGCCGTTGTTCTTGACGCTGATCGGGGCGGTGATGTTGAGGGACCGTGCGAGCTGGTAGGTCTTGCCGGCGGCGAGGAGCATGTAGTGTCCGCACCAGAACTTTTGTTGGTGGGCGGGGATGGTTGTGGTTGTCGTGAAGTAGCCGTCCGGGACGGGGTATTCGCCGCAGAAGGAGATGGGCTCGTTGAACGTGTACCACTGCGCGACCTTGCTGCCCCATCGGGTTAGGAGGACTCGAGCGTACGCGAGGTAGTCGTCGACGATTTTCTCGGAGGTCCACCCGCCGTATGAAAGCTGCAGGAAGAGTGGCAGGTCCCAGTGGTAGAGGGTGACCTGCGGTTGCACCCCGTATTCTAGGCAGGTGTCGATCACGTCGTCGTAGTGCTGGAGACCGGCTTCGTTGATCGGACCGTTGCCGAAGGGGAAGATGCGGGACCAGGAGATGGAGAAGGAATAGGCTTTGACGCCCATGGCGGCGATGCGTTGGATGTCTGGTCGGAGTGGTTAGATCCGGTTTTCCGGGCTTATAGCTAAGATATCATGAGGGTGAAGTCTGGACTGCACAGTAACTTACCTTCTTTGTAAGTGTAGTACTGGTTGATCGCAACATCGCCAGTTTGGTTGTCAGCTACGCTCATCGCTCGGTGCGTAAATGCATCCCATATGCTGGGGCCACGGCCGTCAGCTTTGACAGCCCCCTCAACCTGGTACGAGGCACTGGTGACGCCCCACCAGAATCCCTTGGGGAAGGACCAGCTATCATTCTTCCCCTGTGCGGGAATCTGGGCGCCGGTCAGGTAGGAGGGATAGTATAATTGAGGCGGTGGGATCAGTTGTGAGCTTGGGATTGGAGTGGGCTCCACGGTTGTATTGACCGCTGCGGTCTCCACGGGACCGATGTAGATGTTCCATAGGTCTATGGTACATCAGCTGAAGTCCTATTCAAGGTCCAGTCAGGGAAGAAGCTGACCTTCGACTGTGAGATTGAGGCTAGTCCCTAGAGGCGCTGAGCTGGTGGTAAGAGTTTCAGTGCTCGAGTCTAGAGCCGTAACCTGGTGAATGGCGAGTAGCCCCGCGAGGAAGGGTACGCGCATAATGTTGATGATGCTGCTGCTGCTGCTGCTGCTCAAAGTCTCTACGCTTCTGCGATGCTCATGATTCTTTAAAGTTTGCCAATGCTGAGGGCCGCTTTTTAATGCGCAACTTGGCCAGCATTTAGTCAAAACAAAGATCAATTGCAGGCATTGCAGCTGCGATTTGCAGGAATGAAAGTGGTGGAACCATCCTTGTCCGGAAGATCTGCATCTACTAAGAGACGGGATAAATATCCAGCTGCAGAAAAGAGGCCCGTATGCATTGCAGCAGTCCTTCCTATTGATCCGGCTAATCGTCGTGACTGGGATTGCTGTAGATGCGGGGTTGGGCAAAATGACTTTGTTTGTGAGTGAAGTTGAAGAGGGGAAGAATGGGAATGGGGAGGAAGGGAAGAAGGCAGCAAACGGCGTGATCGGCCAAAACAACCTCCCAACTCCACTCCACCTCCGCATCTCCGCCTTCTCTCCAGATCTACTTCATTCTTGAGTCTAGATCTCAAGTCTGTCTAATGTCAGGTTGTTACCCTTTCACAAGAGAAAAGCACCTCCCTTCCTCACTGATTCTAGGATTCTACTCGCCTACAGCTTGTTCAGAACCCTCCCCAATCACCACTCGCGGACTGAGACAACACCACTCCGAGTACCACTTACCACTTACGCTCAATCGGAAGATAGCACAATCACCTGTACTGGGTATGACGGGTATTCAAGTTGGGAAGGACCTGTGATGTCAAATGATTCAGCTCCCCTTGGCGTTCAAAGGATGCACAAATTCCATTCCATGGTTCTCGCCCGATGGCCGCAGATGATGACTTCATGACGCTCGACGTCAATTGAACCATATCGCATCATCCGCCACCATACATCCTGGCAGCTCAGGGTTTCTCATCGTCAACCTTGGAACTGCCCACTACGCCTCGAATCGGAATAGGCCTCGCCTATTTCCGTCGCATCGGCATGTCGGACTCCGACTCACCCATCTCCCGCCCGCATTGTCACATCAGGATGCTTTGAGTTTGAGGTTGCTGATCAATAGGCTCTCGGTGTCCCCACTACTCTCCTCAGCCTCTCGTACATCCGGTTATGTCCGTTATCAGACTTTGGGGTTGGATATAATCTGATGATGTATGTTCTAATGCGTCGGGTCCAGACTCTACCCCTGGAGGTTTTCATATATCCATTTTAATGCGCAGCTTGATCGTTATCTGCCATCAGGTCAATGACCAGGCTCTTGCTTATCACAAAACATGGACACAGAGCAGAATCTTGGCCTCAGACGCAATCTAAATATCCACCACGAGGACAACCCCTCGCAGACTTCTTTGTGTTCGTCGGAGTCACTCTCGCCCTCCGGATCCAGCCATCATGAAGACCAATCCGCCATTTCCAGCGAGCACGTCGCCGGGAGCCAAAAGAGGCTCCCTCTTGACAGGAGATTGACTGATGATGATATTGCACACGTGCTGTCCAAGAGACAAACCTCTAGGTCAGGGTCTGAACCTGGGGGTGGTGCAGACGATACCGCTCAGATTGCGAAGCTGGTGTCCCGGATGTTTGGCCACGAGAGGAAAGCCAACTCAGAAGAGGAGAAGACGAGGCATCTCGGCGTAGTATGGAAGAATCTCACTGTCAAAGGCGTGGGGCTGGGCGCTGCCATCCAGCCCACGAATGCAGACATCTTCCTTGCAGTACCTCGATTGATCAAAAACTTCTTTACTCGGCGCAAGCATTCTGGTTCAGGTAATGCATTGCGTACTATTCTTGATGATTTTACGGTGAGTGACCACGTGATGTCGATTTCTATAAGAATGATTCTCACTCTTGTTTCTCCTACAAGGGTTGCGTGCGGCCTGGAGAGATGCTTCTCGTGCTGGGTCGCCCCGGATCTGGGTGCTCAACATTTCTAAAAGTTATAGGAAACCAGAGGTCCGGCTACAAGAGCGTCGAAGGCGATGTACTATATGGGGGCACCGATTCCGAGACAATGGCCGATAAGTATCGCTCAGAAGGTATTCAATTTTTATTTTCGGTTTCCTGCATTGATCCAGTGCTGACGTCCCTAGTTCTCTACAACCCTGAAGATGATCTCCATTATGCCACGCTTACAGTCCGAGATACCCTCATGTTCGCGCTGAAAAGCAGGACACCAGGGCAGGAGTCGCGACTTCCGGGAGAAACCAGGAAGCAGTATCAGGAGACCTTCCTGTCCACGATTGCCAAATTGTTCTGGATTGAACATGCACTCGGTACAAAGGTTGGAAATGAACTAATCCGTGGCATCTCCGGAGGGGAAAAGAAGCGTGTTTCCATTGGCGAAGCCTTGGTTACTAAGGCTAGCACACAATGCTGGGACAATTCGACGAAAGGCCTAGACGCAAGTACGGCTCTGGAGTATGTTCAGAGCTTAAGAAGCTCAACAGACATGTCGCATGCATCTACCCTGGTGGCGCTTTACCAAGCCTCAGAAAACCTTTATAACCTCTTCGACAAGGTGATGCTGATTGAGGACGGAAAATGCGCATACTACGGACGCACGGAAAATGCGAAAGCTTACTTCGAGCGCTTGGGATTTGAGTGCCCTCCTCGATGGACAACGCCGGATTTTCTGACCTCAGTCAGCGATCCCTTCGCAAGGCGTGTCAAGCAAGGGTGGGAGGATCGTATTCCTCGGTCAGGTGAGGATTTCCAGAGAGCATATAGACGCAGTGACATCTTTAAAGCTGCTCAGAAAGATATCGAGGATTTTGAACACGAGGTAGAGGTTAACAGAGAAGAACAAGAGCTTGCCAGGGAGAAGCTCAAGAAAAACTACACAGTATCGTTTTACAAACAAATTATCATATTGACCCAGCGACAGTTTCTCATCATGTATGGGGATAAGCAGACACTGATCGGCAAATGGGCCATGCTTACGTTCCAAGCATTAATCGTTGGAAGTCTGTTTTATGACCTTCCCCAGACTAGGTTTGTCTGCACTTATGCCAGCCATTGTGGACTCTCTAATCAGTACAACAGTGCCGGTGTTTTCACGCGAGGAGGTGTCTTGTTCTTTGTCCTCTTGTTCAATGCACTTCTCGCCATGGCTGAACTTACGGCATTCTTTTCGAGTCGGCCCATTATGCTGAAGCACAAGACTTTGTGAGTACTGCATCCAAGCAGCAAGAACCAATACTAATTCCACAGTTCCTTTTATCGCCCCTCGGCATTTGCTCTGGCTCAGGTCGTCGTTGATGTGCCTATTATTTTCATCCAAGTGACTCTTTTCGAGTTGGTGGTATATTTGTATGTCCTCTTTGCCAACTCTGTACAACAGTAGCTGACAATAATGCAGCATGTCGAACCTTCAAAGGACGGCGTCCCAGTTCTTTATCAACTTTCTGTTCATATTCACGCTTACCATGACTATGTATTCCTTGTTCCGAACCATCGGCGCCTTGACTGGCTCCCTTGATGTTTGTAAGTAAGATATCGAGAGACTTTAGAGTCTGGACTAATATTCCTAGCCACGCGTCTTACCGGTGTCGTGATTCAGATCTTGATCGTATATACCGGTAATTGAAGTCTCGCCCTTAACATCGATTGATATATAACAACTGACCATTTCAGGTTATCTCATCCCTCCGTGGAAGATGCACCCTTGGTTCAAATGGTTGATTTGGGTTAATCCAGTACAGTACGCATTTGAGGCAATCATGTCAAACGAATTCTACAATCTCAACCTACAATGCGTTCCACCAGCTATTTTCCCAGATGGCCCGACTGCGCAGGCAGGCCATCAAGTGTGCGCCATACAAGGAAGCACCCCGGATCAGTTGGTCGTCCAAGGATCTAGATATATAGACGAAGCCTTCACATACAGTCGATCTCATCTCTGGCGCAACTTTGGGATCATCATCGGCTGGTTCATACTCTTCGTCGTCCTGACCATGATAGGCATGGAACTCCAGAAACCCAACAAGGGAGGCAGCACGGTCACCATCTTCAAGCGGGGCGAGGCGCCCAAAGCTGTTGAGGATGCGGTGAAATACAAGGAGCTTCCGGCTGATATCGAATCTGGGAGCAGCAATAGCCTCCAAGAAAAGAACTCGGACGAATCGAAGAAGCAGGTTCAGGGTATCGCTAAAAGTACTTCGATCTTCACGTGGCAAAATGTGAACTATACAATCCCCTATAAGGGTGATCAGAAGAAGCTACTCCAAGACGTCCAGGGATACGTTAAGCCCGGTCGTCTCACAGCTCTCATGGGTGCGTCAGGAGCAGGGTTAGTCTATGAATCAATGATCCTCGTCGACATTCTGGCTCACCATCTTTCCAGGAAAACAACCCTTCTGAATACCCTAGCGCAGCGTGTCAACTTTGGTGTTGTCACGGGTACATTTCTTGTTGATGGCAAGTAAGTATATCCATCCTAGCAGTTCTCTCGCTGTTGCTGAGTTCTCCAGGCCGCTTCCAAAGAGTTTCCAAAGAGCCACTGGCTTTGCTGAGCAAATGGACATACATGAGCCTACAGCTACTGTGAGAGAATCACTCCGATTCTCGGCCCGTCTTCGTCAATCAAGCGACGTCTCGATCCAGGAAAAATACGATTATTGCGAGAAAATCATTGATCTGCTGGAAATGAGAGACATAGCAGGAGCAACAGTCGGGGCCGGTGGCGCTGGGCTGAACCCAGAGCAACGTAAGCGATTGACTATCGCGGTTGAGCTAGCAAGCAAGCCACAACTATTGCTCTTCCTCGACGAGCCGACTTCTGGGCTGGACTCCTTGGCCGCTTACAATATTGTACGCTTTCTCCGACGACTTGCCGATGCCGGACAAGCGATTCTATGCACGATCCATCAGCCGTCTGCTGTTCTGTTCGAAGAATTCGACGATTTGCTCTTGCTACAGAATGGAGGAAGGGTCGTTTACAACGCTGAGCTGGGATCAGATTCCAGGAAGCTCATTGACTATTTCGAAAGCAATGGCGCCAGGAAGTGTGCCTCTCACGAAAACCCTGCCGAGGTACTTGCAGCTCTTTAGATCACATCGACCTGTTTCGCTGACTGAACTAGTACATGCTCGACGCCATTGGTGCTGGGAATCCTGAGTACAAAGGACAAGACTGGGGTGATGTCTGGGCCAATTCAGAAGAACACAGGCAACTCTCAGAGACTATTGAGAGTATAACCCGAGAACGTCGAGACAAGGCAGAGGGGGGAAGAACGGATGATGACCGCGAGTTTGCAATGCCCGTCTGGGTACAAATTGTGGCGGTCACCAAGCGATCCTTCATTGCCTACTGGCGGACACCGCAATACGTTCTGGTAGGTGTTTTGCAAACTGCTATAAGCCATCGGTCTTAACAAGCTCGCAGGGTAAATTCATCCTTCACATTTTCACCGGATTGTTCAACACCTTCACCTTCTGGCACCTAGGCAACAGCCAAATCGACATGCAATCCCGTTTATTCTCCATCTTCATGACCCTCACCATCTGCCCGCCTCTGATCCAGCAGCTCCAGCCCCGGTTCCTCCATTTTCGCGATCTCTACCAGTCTCGGGAGGCTGGTTCCAAGATCTATTCCTGGACAGCCTTCGTGACCAGCGCCATTCTCCCCGAACTGCCCTATTCGATCGTCGCAGGCTCGCTCTACTTTAACTGCTGGCAAGCAAACCCTATATCTCTATCCGTCCAGGCAAACTAATATTCACCACCACAGGTACTGGGGCATCTGGTTCCCGCGCGACTCATTCAGCTCCGGCTACGTATGGATGATGCTCATGCTCTTCGAGGCCTTCTACATCGGCTTCGGCCAATTCATCGCCGCCTTCGCGCCGAACGAGCTCTTCGCCTCCCTCCTCGTGCCCACGTTCTTCACCTTCGTCGTCTCCTTCTGCGGCGTCGTCGTCCCCTACACCGCGCTCGTCCACTTCTGGCGCTCCTGGATGTACTGGCTCACCCCCTTCCACTACCTCCTCGAGGGATTCCTAGGCGTGGTCACCCACAACGTCCCCGTCCGCTGCGTCTCCCGCGAAGAATCCCTGTTCAGTCCGCCCCCCGGCTCCACCTGCCAGGACTACGCGGGTGCCTATGCCTCGCAAGCGGGCAGGTACGTCCATGACGCGGCCGACGGGCTCTGCGCCTTCTGCCAATACGTCGATGGCGATGTCTTTGTACGTCTCTCTTCGCTGTCTTCCCTCTCCCCCTAACCCAGTCTGTATGTAAACTAACGTATATCCTTCCCCCGTGCCCTCCAGGCTGCGAGTTTCAACGTCTTTTACTCGCATAAATGGAGAGATTATGTAAGTCGATTCCTTCTTCCTTCCTGCTCCGCTGAGTCAACCTAGCTGGACTTTGTTGGTCCTGAGAACGAGATGAAACTGATTGCCAAATACAGGGGATCTTCTGGGCCTTCGTGGTCTTCAACTTCATGGCGGTCTTCTTCTTCTCCTGGCTGTATCTGCAGGGCATCGGCGATATCAGGAAGTGGTTCAGTAAGCGGAAGGCGAAGAACGCGAAAGCTCCTCCGGGGGAATCGGTGATGTGATGGGTTGTTTGAGATGCAAGTCAAAATGCGCAGACATGTGCTGCGGCAGTATAGACAGAAACAGAAGACTTCGGGAGTTGGGGTAATGGTCTAGTGTCATCATAGATGCGACTCGACTCGCTTTTTTATATGGGACCAAGTTGGCGACACAAATTGGGAGCTGAACAGACACTGAAAGTGCTAGTTATAGACTGTGAATGGATTCCAATCTCAAGGATCATGTATATAAAAAACCGTATGTACAAGAGAATCAACACACAACAGAAACAATCCTCAAGATGACCGACCACTCCTTTGGCCACAAAATGGCTTCTTTTTCGCGCTTCATCCTGTCAAAACCTGTACTCGTGGGGAAGTATGGACCCTTTCACTATTGCTTCGCCCCAGCGGCAAGATTGGATACATTTTCAGTAAGGATTGCAGGTAGATAGATAGATAGATAGATAGATAGATGGTTGTATATAGTGACTTGCGTCAGTGATGAGAATATACCCGATTGCACCTGCAATTCGTAGATGACGAGAGTAGATCTGTCTTCTCAGTAGGTGTAGTTATCGAGACGTCCTACTCGACGGGATGAGAAAAGTGCCCAAGGCCAGCTAGTTGCCTTTTACACCCATTAGGCCGTCTCGGAGCAGGAGGGCGGCGGCGTCGGTGCGGAAGGATCGGAGGTCGCACCCGTGGGGTTCGAGGGGATACCACCGCCTGATTGCTGCGGGGCGGTCCACAGGCTGGAGGAGCCGGTGGAGTGCTGGGCTGATGTGCTGCCGGCACCGGCAGTTACTGTTGGCGAGGACAATGGCACAGGTACGCCAGAGCCAGGGACGTTGCCCTCTGGGGCATCATGTCCGGCAGCGGATGGCGCTGCTGTCGCCGTATGATGGCCGTTCATCAAGCGAGGGCGTTTAGCATGCGGGCCCGTTTCGGGGCTGCGATTCACGGAGTCCTGGTGTTGCTGTGATTGTTGTTGCTGCTGCTGCGGCGGCGGCGGCGGGTATGAAGATACGGGTGCTGCGCTAGTGATGGGAGCGGGATTCGTTGGGGAAGGATCGGGACTCAAGGCAGAGGCGCCTGTCGGAGGGTGGAGCATCCTGCCGGCGGATCTGTCATCGCCTGCGGTGGCTGTCGCACTGCGCTGCGGTCTTGTCTCTGTGCTAGGGGGCCCTGTCTGCAAGAAATCATCCTGGTGTTGCTGCTGCTGAACGGCGGCTGAGTAGCCTACTCCGACGCGGCCCATTCCCTTATCATGCATCACAACTCGCTTCCACTTCGCAACCACACTGTCGTAATCCCATCGCGATGCGGCAGGGGAGATCGGGCTTTTATGCGCGTCTAGCTCCTTGGCGACATCCCGCGGAAGAGGCAAGGTGTCAGGCGGGAAGAGTGCAAACTCTCGCGGCCATTGGCAGGAACCGAGGCGTTCGACCTGGGCGCGGAGTTGGTTGGCTTCCTGTTGAACGCGGGCGAGCTGATCGTCCAAGGATTTGCGCTTGTCCATTTCGCGAGCGAAAGCGCGCGTGATCTCGAGTTGCCAAGCATCTCTACGCATCTCCTGGGACAAAGAGGCCCAATGCTTGAAGGCGAGTTCAAGATGACGGAGGCTGAGGTCTTCGTGTTGTTGGGCGCTGCGGGTGATCATAGTGGAGTCGAGCCCGTAGGTTGATGGGCGGCCGGAATGAGGGTGGGAGCTGGACTCTGCGGAAGAGAGTTGGTCGGATTGCCATTGTTCAATTTTTGCGCGGAGAGCTTGTCGGACGATTTCGAGATGCTCGACTCCGGGAGGTTGGAGGGGGAAAGATGTAGGCGAGGGGAATGGGCTGGTTGCGAATAGGCTGGGCGGAGGCGGTAGAAGCTGCAGACAGAGGGAGGGAAACGTTTGCGATTGGATGTCAAAGTCAAAAGGTGAGAGTCGGGGGCGCATTCGGGAGCTGGAGGGAAGAAAAGTGTCAGATCGTTTGTCAAAACGCGCAAAGGGCCAGGTGGGGAGGTGGTCATACGTTGCAGCCTTGATGTTATCAAGCACCTCGCGCAAAGCCAATTCTAGCGCCCGCATGGTGTCCGGATTACTCGAGTTGTGTCTCTCCGTAAAGGTGAAGGACCCGGTTCGAGACTGCGGAGGCGCAATGCGCGAATGGGCGGAGCTGCCCTCCTGCGCCTGGCTCGGGTTCGGGATGTCGTTGATGACTCCGGTCGCATGCCACGTCGGGGTGTTGAACATCATCCTATACGCGCCGTCGCGTGACTTTGTCCCCGAGTCGCCCGAGCTGAAGAGGTCTTGTTGACGTTTGCCAGGTGTTCGCTCGGGGGTGTCGCGTCTGCCGGATGAGGTGCGGGCCTGTCGTCGCGTGATCTCACTTCGCATGCGTCGAATCTCCTCGACATCGTGAATGCCATCAGGTTTCTTCTTGAACATGAATTGATCGAGGTGGCGTCCGAGGGAGGATGAGGTGAACGCCTGGTGGCAGTATTGGCATTGTCGATCTTTGAGGGCTGGGTTCTTCGCGGAGCTCGACGGGTTGTGATTGTCTGCCCCGACGGACCCCTCGGGGGTGTTGGTGGGACGCGACGAGGCGCTTTCTTCCATGGCGAACGAGGTGGCCTGAGATTGAAAGTAGGGAAAATTGATTGAAAGTGTGGCGAGTGGAGAGGGTTGTGGAGAGACGCGTGCGCTAGGAGGGTTACTGGAAGATGGCGTGGACTGGGAAGGTATAGCTCAATGCATGCATGACACAAATCAAATGGAGCGAATGAAACACAAGCGAGAGGGATGGAATTATGGAGATGGAATTGAGGATGGCATGCGACGAGATGCGAGGTGAAGCTGGCGGAGAGAGGGGAGAAGCAATGAGAAAGAGGAGAGGAGAAACACACGAGGGGAAAAGAGGGAGAGGAAGGGAAGAAGGGAAAGGAAAGGAACGTGACGATGGAGGATGGAAGTTGGAGGAAAAGAAGCGCCAAGCCGAGACAGTGAGTGAGTGAGTGAGTGAGTGAGTGAGTGGGGGTCTTTGGTCTGTCCGCTTGCTTTGCTTTTGCTTGTTTTCTACGAAGTACACATTCTACACATTCTTCCTATTCTTTTCTTTGCGCAGGCCTTCAAGCCTATCTTCAATTCGTGCTTAAGTCAACCAAGTACCATATTGTCATTGAATGATTCTTGGCCAAACCAGGTAGATTCTTGTTCGAGGCTGTCTATTGATATTCCTCTCTAAACACCATCACCCGCTCAACTTCTTCTCCATCACCAGAATCCTCCACCCAAGCCCTCCACAACCCTCCGCAATTGAAATCAAACACCACTTTGCCTTTCCGGAGCTTGGTTCTGTCTTGAGCATCACCAGTCTCCATGACCACAGGATCCTCCAACTCCGCCTCTATACCAATAATCCCGCCCTGACCCTCGCCGGTTGAGCCCCATCGATCGCCAGCCGAACGCTGCAGCTCGCCGCCGGGCCCAGCAACCGCCGTGACAGCCTCGGCCAACGAGGGACTCGGCGTCGAGAACCGCGACATGGCGCAAGCCGTTCTCGCAGCCGCCGTGCGAAGGAACGAATCCCCATTGCCCGTCCCCGACACCGCAACCGCACGTTTCTTGCCCTTCAGGGTCTGCTTGTGCGAAGGCGCAATCAGCCATTCCTTCTCCGACTTGGTTCCAGCATCACCATCACCATCACCATCGTAACCCCGTCGAGCCAACCCATCCTCCTCTCCCCACAAAGCCTCATACATCCTATCCGCCCCCTCTCTCACAAATCCCGGCAAACAATCCCCAAGCGTCAGATCCCAGACCCCCTTCTCCCCGGCCTCGTCGTCCACCATACCCCCACCACCACACATCCTCCCATACCGCATCCCCATTGCCTCCCCCAAACCAACCCTCTCCACTTCCTCCCACGCCTCCGCCCAAAACCCCGCCCCCAGCGTCGGCGTATCCCCAATCCTCCCCGGCAACTTATTCGTCAACCCCCCAGTACTCGTAGCAACCGCCAACCCACCCGCACGATCCAAACAAACACAGCCGACGGTCCCCTGACTCATCGCGACAGTCTCCACCTCCCCCCGCAACCCCCGGAGATGCTCGTCCCACCGCCGCTGCGTAAAGAACCACTCATCGGGCATAAACTCCAACCCCCACTGCCGGGCCAGCACATCCTCGACATAAGGCGCCACCAGCTGGGAGTGCATACTGCCGCCATCCGTGCCCTTACCCCCATCTGCACCCGCATCCCCATCCCCATGCCCATGCCCATCCCCACCGCCCTGCTGCCCCTGCCCCGACCGAACCAAAACCTCCCGCGCCAACCGAATCGGATGCCGTACATTTCGCAGCCCCATAACGCCGACACCGCGCTTGACGATCCCCTCCGAGGGGTGCGCCGCGTGCACCGAGGTGACCATGAGCGAGGCCTCCATCTCGATGGTGCCGGCGGCGGTGAAGACGCTGCCGCGGCCGCAGTTGAACAGCGGGTCGTCCTCTAGCAGGGTGACGGCGTGCACGGCGGCGTCGAGGGCCGAGGCGCCGTCCTCCAGCAGGGCGCGGGTGGAGCGCAGGTACGCGAGGAGCGAGGCGTGGTATTGCGCGTAGAGGTCGGGCGGGAGGGTGGACCGGTGGATGGCGCCGGCGCCGCCGTGGAGGATGAGGGTGGGTTGGAAGAGGGGGGGGAGGGAAGAGGGCATTGTTGTGGGTGGTGGGTTCGTATACCAGGTGTAGGATCTGTAGGGAATCAAGGTTCGGGCTGGTGGTGAGCACGCTATAGAATTTCTGAATTCGAATAGAAGGAGGTGTTGAGAGGGGAAGCTGAGGACAAAGCCCAGGTTGGGGGGTGATGGGTTGTCGTCCGCGGCTTATCGGCCCTGCACTGCACCTGCAACCGCTCCTTGCCTGATTGGGATGGGTTGTCTGCCGTCATCACGTCCACTCCGTCACAATCTGCTGGGTAAATCAACGATAATCAGACTACCTGGCGCAACCTCACTGTGTACTAAGTATCACATTATACCTGTTATCTGCATGTTAATGTACAAGAAAAATGGAAAGATAAAACTGTTTCCCCCCGACTGATCCGGAGAGAACCTCTTCTTTTGAGATCGGCCCCTCTCAGCAAATGTGAAAAAAGAGAATCACACACAACAGAAAAAAAAATACACAAGGATGCAAGGCTGTGTCATCCAAAATCGCCGACAAAAACCCACACTTCTTTATAGAAAAGACATCATAAGAGTAAGAGGGGGGAGGAGGGTCGAAGCAAGGAGTCGAAAGAAACCTCTATACCATGCATCCTGAAATGATATGAACCAGCCCAACACCAGAGAAGAGAGACCACGGATAAGGATATGAGAAAGATGGGCATATTGCTGACAACGCGGGGATTCGTACGTTCCTAACTAGCATGAAATCAAGGAGGATTTAGGTGAGGGATCAATTAGGCGACGGCCTTCTCGGGGGACGGAGGAGGAGGAGGAAGCTAAATGCGACGAAATCATAGAGGTTAGCTTCTGGTAAACTTTCCATGTAACCCAAGGTCTGATTTCTCCTTCCAAACAAGCCACGGGCAACCATGCCCCGGGACAACAAAGACAAAAGTCTGGAATCTATCTCACCTCGAGTTTTGTGTTGTCGGCCATCATTCTCTGGAACCCGATACCGACACCCTCGATAACAGCCAGGAAGACAGCACACATGATCGCCGAGTTACGAGCAGCCTTGACACCCCCACGGACAGCCAGAGCACCACCAGTGAAGAAACCAGCAATAACTAGGAAGCAACAAAGTTAGCTATGTCGTCATTCCAGGAAACGCGCGCGATGCCGCCGCTGCTCTGCTTTCGTGTAGATCTGCATCACAGACGAGGAAAAAACGTACTGGCATTGTAGGGATCCTCCTTCTTTCGGATACCCTTGATCGCACAGTCGAAGGTCGAGAAGAGACCACCCCACACACCGAAGTTACCACCGAGGACAGGCGCACGAGCCTTGATGGCTGTGATGGCACCTATCCGACGCTCTCCGTAGGGGCTGTTTCTGAAACCCTTGACACCGTGCCAGACGGCACCACCGATAGCCTGTACAGAAGAAGACAGTTTAGTAGTGGGATCGATGGCGGAATGCAGATGCAGCTGAATGTGATTCAGCTTGAGGGTCGATGATGACGTACACCCATACAGAAAGCACCACCGAAGTCGCTCAGGGCAACCCAGGGGCAGGGATCTCTGGAGTGATCCATTGCGATATATGAATTAGAGCGAAGAGGAGGCGGGGAGAGAGATCAGATGGCGAGCGTGCCCGGAGGAAATCAAGTAGCTGTTGTAGGAGCTACAAGGTCGAGCAAGTGGTTGAGAGGAGGTGATTTCGCGGTACTGTAAAGCTGAACTCGACGAAAATGTGATGCGAGTTTCAGGGAGAGAAACCGGGGTCGTGAGATGGAGTCGAGGTGGTGCACGACAGGCTGGCAGAAGCAGTCTTTAATGGACAAACTCTGGGGTCGGGGAACGGAGAGCGAAGGCGGATCGCAACAATAAGTTTCTGGCTTTTTTCGCCGGGAAAACGTGACTTGCTACCCCCATTCTCAGAGTCACGTGCCGATAACCAGCCCGGAATCTCCCTTCCAAACATCCTTCAACAACCAGTCCGTAAGTGGCGAGTCGGGAAGACGAGGAGCAAAATATGCATCACAACTGACAGGGATTCCATCAAAGTTTTCTTTCTCTCCTCTTGTCCTTGCGTGCTTTTCTTAGAATCTAAGGTCCGAGCGCTTTGTCTGGCCGACTCATCCGGGCTTTGAGTTCTCTGACGCCATGCTGATGATAAGATCAAGTTGGTTGTTGCCAGCGAGCGTGCTATAGATCCTTTCTTTGTGTAGTCAGTCTACCTTACAACAAGCTACAGATGTGCACCACATTTGCCGTGTTTGATCTCAAAAGGCTCCACGTAAAATTACCGCAATATGTCGCTCGGCCAATGCGTAGCGTTGAGCTTTCTGCTCATACTTCACAACCATGGAGGTACATACTATATTTCTGCGGCACACTTTAATCAACAATGAACTGCCCAAGCAGGATCATGCGTGATAAAGTTTGATATTTACTCAGTAAGTACATAGTACAGTAAATGGGCCCAGCCTCTACTAAGCTGGCATCAATTACGATGGCAAGTTCCAGATGAAGTTTAACGCTCCTCCTCCATAGGCCGGAAATTGCCCACAACTATTGATTCCAAACGGTGCCATGGACGGATCAAACGGTAGGGAAAGCCAATCATCCCCGGCGATATCGTTGAGCTGGGGAAACAGGCTCACGTCCGCCAGGCTCTGCGATACAGGGGTCTCGGCCATGGGGGCAGGATTGTCGCTTTCGGTGCTCTGTTGAGGAACCATTGAGTTGCGAGTCGTGGTTCCATGACTGTTCTTAGCAGACTTGGAAGATGCAAGCAGGTTACGACGCAGGCGCGACACGTGCATTTCCAGCAATTCGGCGTATCGAGTGCTCAGGTGAATATCATCGAGGGCATTCGACTTCAGCACCTGTACGCAGCGCTCCAGTATATCCAGCGACTCGCGCAGTCTTGCTGGACGAGTGCCTAGACTTAGGGCTTTCATCAAGAAAATAGAGGAGCTGGTGATTCTCAAGAATATTCGGACCGGAGAGAATCGCAGAGCTCCTGAATCACCAAGTTCGATGACCTTCTGCAGGATCTGACAGCATCCATCAATCACTTCCTGAATATAGTTGTAGTCAATGGGGTCGATATGCATAGCACGGACTTCTTCCACGTTCGAGTCGTTGTCCGCAACTATACGCTCCACAACCGCCTGCATCCCCACTGAGTGCGTGTAGACCCGCACGAAGTTGTATTCAATGAAGAGAATGTCGTAGAAGTGTTTGCTAAGCACTACACCATAGATCAATCAGCATACCATGTCAAAGACTGTCTTCGCAGTAGCCAAGGAACACATACCGTCATGCCGAAGATGCTGCTCCCTCCACTTCTGCAGAAGAGGGCAGAAGTGGTCCAGCAAGTCGATGTAGCGCCCACTGTGCAGCTGCTGCCTCGCGAACGATATCGAAGGGAAGAACATGTCCGTCACATTCTTGGCCAATTTTGTGAGATCCATCCAAGAGTCCATCAGCGCCAACCATTCATCTTCTGAATGGCTCACGTCCCTAGTCGTTTGCCGACCTAGTATTGTATGATTCAAGCTCTGCGGCATGAGTGAAACACATCCAATTCGCCAAGCCAACTGATTGATGTAGACGTATAGAAGGCGTTGTACTCGAAGTCTACGCAGTTTGATTTGATCATTTGAGATGAAACCCTCATATAACGACGCATAGTCGCATTTCTTATCATCGAGTTCGAATATCCCCAGCTCGTGTGCTAGCGACAGCGCGGATCCCAGTAGCATCCAGGACATCTGATCCGATCTTCTGGCAGGCTCGACCATGTCTTCCAGCCATCGGTTTGATGACGAATCATCTTGACTCTGGGGCTCGGGGACCAGAACCAAGTCTGAGTCCCACCCGTCACTTTCAGGTGGGAAGTGCAAGGACCGCGGATGCCATTCAGACATCAATAGCAGTGCTTCAATGGTCCCAATGCTCCTGTTTTTCGCATGCGACGATCTTTCCTGCCCGAAAACCAGTCGCATCACGAGATGTTGGCAATGCTGCCATAGACGATGGTGGATAAAGAAGTTCCGGGACTCGCCCCCAGCACCAGGTAACACATGATACCGAGACGATAGCATCAATATAGCGCAACACAAAGCCGGATCACAAGTGATCAGATGCTGGTGGTTACTATGATCGGCATAGAAGTTGGTCAAGATCGGGGATAGAGGAACCATGTTCTTGAAAAACCTGCAAGTGTCAAGATAGGCTTATGACAAGGTCCAAGTATATATACATACAGGTCAATCAAGGTTACCGCTTCTCTTGATGTAAACCACCCCATTCTGACGAATCGGCAGGTCTCCCAGACCTTGAGCACCTCTTCTGATGCAGGTGAAAGCTGTACCGGGCGCTTCGCCTTGGCCAAGGCTTCCGTAGGGTACTTGAACTGCGGTGGGTTCATGGTACTGTTACCCGTCCCTTTGCCATGCGAGGCATTATCCTGTATAGTTTGTGATTGCGACTGAAAATCATTCGCCATATTCTCCTGGCTGTGGGCTACGGCAGCCTCGAAAAGAATATTCAAAGCATCATTTCCACTGGAGACCACGGTGCGCATCATTGAATTCGCCAGATTCGACGTTGCTGGGTGCTGGCTCGAGCGCGTCTCAGTGTCATAAGAGGATTGGAAGCCTCTGTCATCATCTGCATGGTTGCTGTTATCACCACCTGAACGCCGGTCCCCCCCTTGCGGCTTGCCATCCGGCAAATTGCGTGTCCGAGTTGCGTATAATTCGGGAACAGAAGAGTGGTGCGATCTCCTACTCTCGTGGTGTTGTTCAGTGCTTTCGCTGCCTATTCTTTCGTCAAAAACATGTAACACATCATCTGGCACGCTTCGACGCCGAGTCTGTCGGGTATCAAAGGCCTGAGACTGAAGTGAGCTGTTACTTCTACCAGTAGTGCTATGGTCTATGGTATGATCATCAAACACTTGTAGCACATCATGAGTAAGATCGCGGCGCCCAGTCCGTATTTCGGAAGTGCGATTAGTATGCGACCCCCCGCCTTCATTCTCAGGCATGCTGCCATTACCAAAGGGGCTGTCAGCGCCGACATTCAAAACGTCGTCGGGTACTTCCCGGTCCTGTCTGGTATGGTCCGACAACCTGCGACGTGTACTCGGCGACGACATGGGCGCATCTTCTGAAAGACCTTTTGAAAACAGTTAGCCTCAAGTACCGAAGCAACAACTGATACAGAGGAATCAAGCACAAGCAGAGACGGTTATAGCAGCAACAGCACCAGCACCAGCACCAGTATAGCGAATCACCTACCGCGTTTACTGCTTCTCTCCCACGCCCGCTTCTCACTGAATATGCACTCCCTCTGTTCCCTTCGACATTTCGCACACGGAGGCCCTATCGGAAAGCCGTCCTGGTCGGTTCCGAGGTTGCATTTGGCCTTGCGTTGCCGACACGAGAGGCAGGCCTTGTAGGTCCGTTGGTAGGTCCGCGTCGGAGTGTCGCCGTAGCGGCCGGCCGGCCTCCTGACTTCCATGATGGGCAGAGTTCCAGCTCAACCAATAACATCGCAGAAACACAGCTCTCTCGAGGTTCCGAATCAAGAATCTGGCAGCAAGGCCCGGAATCGTAGGCCGTGGGGCCCTGTAAATCAGCCCAGATGGAGACCTAGCGATTTGCGCGTGAAAGAGAGGGAAACGCAACGAGAGGGGGCTAACCGGGGCGGAGACCAGGAGGGAAAACGGAAATAGCCGTCTTTTCCCGCTCCCTCGGCGGAGAAGGGAAACATCCGGCGCGAAGCTGCGATATTTGTATCAATGCAAAGATTACCCGAGAGATTAATTATTTACCCCGTGCCATATAGTTATGCTCGCTTATAGTAAGTCATTGAACCTATATCTCAGAAGGCCCCATAAATGAGATCCCTTGGCAAAGTCCCCAAAGCCCAGAGACCCGGTCTCCAGCCATCCTCAGCACCTGACACACAGCCGTGGCTTATAACTTGTACCGTCTCTGATGAGGCGATTTCCCTCAACTTTAAAACTCGGAACGATGAATTAAGACATTAGACAGTCACTCCATTTGTCTGCAGAGGATGTACCTGGTACTTGGCAGTCTTCATTGGCACGAAGACAGATATATGCGGATCCTTGATTAGACGTCGCAGCTCGATGCATCGGCACTATTATAGTTTTCACAAAGCGTAGGGATAGGATGGCATGACGACAAGGACTAACAGCGAGTTAAGACTACTTTTTATTTCTGACTGGGAAACCGAAAACATGCATTTCATATTCATCTAATTTTGTAGGAGACCGAAGAATATTATAATCTGTCCTGATTTATAATTTTATGAATTCTTCATCGACATCCGAGAAACCCATGCAACACGTCATCATCAGCTTGACTATCGTCCGAAATTGTTCATCAAAGTGCGTTTATTTGTGGGCTGAATGTGATTAGCACAGAGGTTTTTTGAGTGTGGATCAAAATGACTTACGAATACCCTCCTCAGGCTGGGGCTCAATGCCAACAACCTCGGCAGCGTTCTTGGTCTCAGCAGCAGTCTTGTCATCCTTCATAAAGGGGAAGGCCAGAACCTCCTTGATGCTGTAGTTGTCCGTCAAGAACATGACCAGACGGTCGATACCCATACCCCAACCACCAGTGGGAGGCAGACCGTACTCCAAGCTGGTACAGAAGTTCTCGTCAATGAGCTGGGCCTCGTCATCACCCTGGTCCTTCTGGCGGGCCTGCTCCTCAAAGCGGAGACGCTGGTCGAAGGGGTCGTTCAACTCGGTGTAGGCGTTGACAATCTCCTTCTTGCAAACGAAAGCCTCGAAACGCTCGCAGAGACCGACGTTCTCGCGGTGGTATTTGGCCAGAGGAGACATCATCTGGGGGTGGCCGGTGATGAAGGTGGGGTTGACACAGGTCTCCTCAATGAACTCGCCAACCAGCTTGTCGAGCATACGGGCGTTGGTCATGGGGGGAGAGCACTCAACACCGGTCTTCTTGAGGATACGCTTGAGGAACTCGTTGGTCTCAGCGGTGTGGAGCTGGTCACCAGCAGGGAACTTCTCGCCAGTGGCTTCCTCCAGCGCAGGGATCATCTCCACACGGCGCCAGGGAGCCTTCCAGTTGACGTTGTAAACCTCACCAGACTGAGTGTGGAAAGTGGTCTCGTAACCTCCAGTGACGTGCTTGACCAAGCCAGAGACAAGCTCCTCGGTCAAGTTCATGACATCGTGGACATCGGCATAGGCCCAGTAGAACTCGCAAGTGGTGAATTCGGGGTTGTGGGTCAAATCAATACCCTCGTTACGGAACTGACGGCCCAATTCGTAAACACGCTCCAGACCACCAACGATCAGCATCTTCAGGTACAGCTCGGGGGCAACACGCATGAACAGGTTCATGTCCAGGTCGTTGTGGTGAGTGATGAAAGGCTTGGCGGTGGCACCACCGGCAATGGCGTTCATCATGGGGGTCTCGACCTCGACGAAGTCGCGGCTGTCAAAGTAGTTGCGGACGTAGGAGACAATCTTGGCGCGAGTGAGGAAGACGTTGCGGGAGCGGTCGTTCATGATGAGATCCAGGTAACGCTGGCGGTAACGCTGCTCCTTGTCCTGCAGACCGAAGTGCTCGGAGGGGATGGCGTGCAAGCAGGGGGCGAGGAGAACAACCTCAGAGGCGAAGATGGACAGCTCACCATCCTCACGGTTCTTGGGGTTGCTGCGACCGGGGAAACCGACAATACCAACAATGTCACCACGGCGAAGGTGCTCGTGCTGGGCCTCGAAGGAAGCGTCGCCGGCAATGTTCTGAGCCTGGCAGACAACCTGCACCTTGACACCCTCGGCACGAATATCGTAGAAGATCAGCTTGGAACCGGACGCGCGCTTGGTGAAGATACGACCAGCAATGCGGACGGTGACATCGGGCTTCTGCTCGCCCTTGGCGAGACCCTCGTACTCCTTGAGGTACTTCCGGAGGTCGTCAGTGACCTGGAACTTGTGGGGGTAGGGGTCGGGTTGCTTGGTCTCGCGAAGCTTGTTGATTCTCTTGCTGCGGATCTCGAAATATTGCTACAATTGTTCAAGTTATCGAATACGGTTAGCAAGTATTGCGCGACGACATGTCCCAGGTGATGGCGGGGTACGACTTACGTTGGGGGTCAGGTTGGCCTCATCGTCTTCAGCAGAGGTCTTCTTGACAGGCTTGGGGGGAGCAGCAGCCTCACGCTCCTTCTTCTTGGCCTCCTTCTCGCGCTGCTTCTGGCGTCTCTTGAGTTCGGACTTGGAGACCTTCTCTCCGGTGACCTCGTCGAGGATAAGGTTGGCCAACGAGGCCTCGGCCTGCTGGACGGCAGTGTTGTCGGCCATGATGAATCAGTGAGGCTTCTTAAAGTACCGCAACAGGGACTTAGACTCCTCTGTGACAAATGAAAGACGGTTTGGAGAGAAGGAGGAGGAAAGAGATGACACACGGAGGAGCAGCGGGCTTGGTGGGTTGGAAGTCGGCGAGAGAGAATTTTGGGCGGGAGACAAGGCGGGCGAAGGTGATTGGGTAGGGAGGGGCAGCTCCCCCACGCCCGCCCCTCCTTCGATTCAATCATGGATGACTCAATTTCACTGCATGTCTGGCTATTTCTGCCTCAGGCCGAAATTAAATGGTGCCTCTGCACGAGATCATATCTTATTAGGTAGTCTTGTGGGTATTACAGAACCACGGAGTAACATCTCAATCTTTAACATTCTGGTTACCTGAGCTCTTCAATCTGCAAACTAGTACTGTACAGTACAATCCACTGAACCCAACGCCCTCAATCCTTATCAAAGGCAGGCAGGGCTTAGGGCTTAGGGCAAGCGGATGGGGTTTGGATCTATCGCGCTCTCTCTCTCTCTCTATATCCGCGTACCCCGCCTTTCACCCTTCATCCCACCCCAGCTTTCTTGTCTCTGGCTCTAAGCAAAAGTCCCAATCCACTCGTCTGCATATACGCTCTCACACAGACGTATCCATACTCGAAGCAAAAGGCGCCCAATCATCCTGGGGCTGGGATTTGACCGTCATATTGTCATACACGTCCTCGGGCTCGTCCTTCTTGGCAGCCGACAGCCATGTCTGCGCCTTGACAATCTTCTCCTTCTCGCGTTGAAGAACCAGTCGGCGATGTTGGCGCTCTGGCTCCTCTGCCATGAGATCGCAGCATCTCTCAAACACTAGGCATGGAACGTCAGCGGTTGCCCTGCTCGAAACCATAAACAGACACTTACTGTCATGATCGTTGATATGTAGCTCGCGTTGAACCTCTTCAATCAATTGACCGCGGCATTTGGAGAACAGCTTTGTATGGGTGCTCTGGCAGATCAAGTCGGCAAATCGAGAGCTCGCAACGTCATAGTAACCTCGCGCATACTGGAAGAGAGAGCAATTAGCCACGTAATCGTAGATCCCCATGAATCTCAACCTACCGCCATGATCCTCATTTCCGGGAGGTACTGATCCGGACCAAGTAATGTCTCCAACTCCTGTGGCTTCTGGCTCATGCTCTTGTATTCGTTGTCACGGCGAATATCCCCCTTGGAGTACTTGCCAACCCGGTCTTGGTGCAGATCAAAGCGACGCTCATTGCGGGCGCTGACGAGAACCTTGAACCCCTGGTTTGTGGCCTGCTCTAGCGCTATTCTGTTCATCGTAAAAGGTTTGTTATGTTCCATCTCATAAGTTTCCTCTGCCCAGCTGATGTGCTGCTGGTAAAGCTTCTGCAGGTATTGCTCCACAATTCGACGGATCTCGCGATAGAGGTTAGTCCGTTGATACTGCACAAAGACCTCATCCACCTGCTCCAGCATGATTTTCTTGACTAGGGCATGGCTTTCATCCAGAAAAATCATCAATGGCGCTTTCCAGTGTTCCACGCTCCGCTGGTTCAGGATTTCAATCGCCTTTGGATCGATCTGGTCTGGAAGGCACCCTCGAGAGGCAGTTTCATTGCATTCGCGAATCCCTTCCCAGGTAAACTTCTTGATCTCACGACTGACCTTGTCGAAAGGGGAGGCCGAACTAATTCTGCCCAAGTCCGGGGTAAATCTCCTCTTGGTGTCTGGTGTATCGCCGTGGTTAAGGGCCTTGCGCTTTCCTGGAGTTGGGGTCGGGGGATGGACTATAGTGACTTCGCTATCTGAGTCATCATCCTTCTGATTGTACATCACTTTCTCACGCTCCTCGGCCTGAGAGAGTATACTGACGGTTGGCCGAGTCTGTATCAGCACCTGTTTGAAGTCGGTCGCCAGGTGACCCCACATCTTCAGCAGCGGATAGTCAGCTGAGCCGCCGTCCATGTGTGCCTGTATGTGCTCTCTGAAATTGTTCAGCATTTGACACAGAATGAATGGACTGTTCGCCGAAGGAGGATCCGGCAAGGTTTGAAGCTCAGCATCGATACGTTGAGATTTGGCTTTAATCTGTTCGATGACCTTAGGAAGACAACCTTGAATTTGATCCAACAGGAGGCTCGAGAGTGCCGTCTGCAACTTTCTGGTTCCAAACTTCTCTTGGTATGCGGCAAGTTCTGTTGCCCACGGCTCAGAAGCAAAGAATGCATCCTCTTCACGACGCGCTTGAGCATGCTGGATCGTGGGGTCTGGATTGTTGCGGATCACGTAGTAGCCGTGCCCAAGCTTGAATTTGTCTCCTTCCAAAATCTCCAGCCACTGAACATATGACTCCCCGGATTGAATTCGGTCGGGTTTTGTGAGAACACCCAAAGTTCTCGCTTTGGCACTTTTCACCTCCCGCATGAGGCGAGCAGCACTAGAATTAGTCGCATCATTTGTCATCGGCAAGGTCAACAGCACAATGCAATTTGCCTGAGTGATATATTCTTTGACAAGATTCTCAACCATAGCAACTAGATATCTGTCTTTTTCGTGCTCGGCCTGGCTTATGACACCAGGTAGATCGTAGAATGACAAACTTGGGAAACCAGGCGCGGAAATGTCGAGTCGCACCACATTCGGAGAGAACTTGGCCTGACAATAATTCTCGTCGGTGTCACAATTCTGCCCAGGAATATACTCAGCAGTCGGTCTCAATGGGTTTAGAATGGCCAGTTGCGCCCATCGGATTGCCTCTTCGACATCATCTCTATCGCTCAAGGTAATAAACAGCTCATCCTCTTGATCCTGACTATGCCAAGGACCGAAAGGATGTGACTTCTTGGACACTTTATCAACTCTTTGGTTTGTGTCGTAAAAGTATTTCCTTGATAAGTACACACGGCACGTCCAAGGTTGGTCTGGATCGCTTTCAGTGAGATTAATCTCCATCGGGCACCGAGTACAGGTTCCTGCCGCACGTGGGACTTTGATCTCGCTCATACCCTCGATAAGAGAGCTCTTGCCCGCACTTTGATCGCCTATAACGCAGATTCTGGGGAGAGCAATCTGGCTGTCTTCAATACCGAGGTGCCGCAGATCTTGGATCTTCTTCACCAGAGCCTTCATGTCGTGAGTGATGATATTGATCGAGTCATTTTTCAATGCCGATGGACCAGACATCTCGGCCGATTTTGCTCGGATCACGGCTTGGGGATGTGAGTCAGAAGTGAAGCCCAGTTTGATAGAAGAATTTGGCACCTACTCGATAAATGCTCCGTCATTTTGACAGACGGTGGCTGGAGCAAAGGTGATGTCGACACGGAGATGGTACGAACTTCAACCGAAATTAGGGAGAGTGAGAGGCTGTAGGAGGCTGTAGGTACGGGCGCTTCACACAGAAGATGAAAAATGAGAATAGAGAGTAGAGGTAAACTTCTAGGAGAAGACACCCCACCCTAGGGTGAGTAACAAGTTGGATGGGCGATGGTCTAGAGAAGAAGATGAAGAAGAGGAGGAAGAGGAAGTGATTGGAAATGAGATCCAAAAGTAAGCAGATTTATATCGAGGGGATGTGGAAGGGAGGTTGACAAAGCAACACTGGCAGTATATTATTTTGTCACACACACAGAAGGCTGTAAGTGACACATTCACTTAGAGTGGTAGAAATACAGGCGGCTGTGGAGTTGATAGATCAACTTACAGCCCTGCAGCAACCGTGCTAGCGGCACGACGACCATTCACTGAAAAGCTGCCACTGACATGCCGTGTCCATTCCATCCGAATATAAACAGCAACATCAGCCATGGAGTTCTCTTGATATACTCATCAAGAATGACTTCAGAACTGTGCTGGCTGTCGTCTCTCTGTAGCACCATGGAGCCCGGGTTTGGCAGTCCGATGTAGATCTTGTTGCAGATGCTTAGAGACTCCAAAGCCATGGCTAAGAATGCTCGTATTGTGGAGGTTCTACCTTTGCTTACAACTTCAACTGAATTATATCGAGCCATATTTCCAGCTCGTCTGACAAATGCAGCTCACTTCCGCATTTTAATCACAGAGGACAAAGAAGAACATATGACTCGAGCTGTTTATGCTGAATTTGTCCTTGACATAGGTACCCTTGCACTCCTAGAGAATACACTTAACTATGGCAATAGCTTCAAAAGCTATACATCAGTTCAGGTCTTGATGTAAGCCACGGCATGCAAGGTTAAGCATAGATTCTACACCTTAAACCTTAGAAGTTGGTTCATTCATTAGCATACGTGCTTGCAAAGGCTGATAGCATGCATTGGTTGGGACTTCTAAGCTACAACACAAAAGGATTATCAAGTGTAACAACTTATAAAGATGGTACTAGAAGCGATCACTGAGTCTAGTGAATATACCACTGTCTAATTGCCTGTACAGGGCTAAACCACGATGTTAAGACCCTATTCACACAAAAACCTCTTCACCACCCCACGATCCACAATAAATATTCAAATAATCTTGAATTCATTCACTGGCATACAAAATATTCATCACCTAGGGAATGAGCCCCTGTCAAGGCAGCTGTATAAATAGTAGCTCCTCCCCCCTTGTCTCTCAACTTCCTTCTTCCTTCTTCTTTCTCCTTCTCCCACCACACCCACCACCTCTCTCTCCCACCATCTACTACCCCTCTCTCTCTCTCACCCCATCTCTCTCTCACCCCTCTCTCTTCCTTGCTACTCTCTCTCTGTCTTTCTCTCTGTGATCCATGCGTGTTTTTCTTTGAACAAGGAACTTCTAAATAAGGTTGGAGTTTTCTCTTAGTAAAAACAGGTGACCTGTGAT